TTGAAGACTATAATCCGTAAGACAAACAAAAACTATTATTATACGCGTGCTGATCTACGATCCGCTAACAATTTGAAGACTCGCTTCAAAAAGAGGACCAAAGCCATATACTTCCTACCTATTTATTGTACACTGAAAATATGCCTTACCCCTATTGGTCTTTAATTTTGTTGTTTATCCTTTAAATCATAAAATTGGCTTTCCACTGGAGATGGATGTTTTTCTTTGTGTCTCTGTGATCGAAATTGCGTTACCAATTTGTTTTATTTTTTGTTCATGGATAGCTTTTAGGTAGATAAGAAACCTAAGGTAGATTGTTCCTACCAAAAGCGTTTTATTTGTGAGAAAAATGAGACGATCGGTTTTCGATATGGGAGCTGTCTCAGACTGCCCTAATTTTTAACCTGAAATTCGCTAACATTAAATTTCCTCGCATTCGCAAAGGAAGCCGCATGGAGAAATTTGGACACTTTCCATGCAAAAAAATTTTTCTTCTTGCACTAAAAGATACTTTCATGGCAACAGCGAAGCTCGTCGAACTGAAATAATTCAAAAAATGAGGGATAAGTTTTCAGGATATCAAAAACTTAAGCAGTTTGGCAGTCACTGCTCTCTCTCTCTGTCCTCCAGTCTATGTTTGTCCCTGACATTTGCATGCAGTCACGAAAAAGAGATAATCAGTTTGGATACAATGCATATGTTGTATGGTTATAGTACTTAGTGTATAATAGTTTCAAAGGTGCCTCAGATCTGAAGTGCAGTAATTGTCATAATGATACTGCTACTATAGGGTGTTCTGCTAAATACGGGTTTCACTGTTTATTATGATGGGAGTCTGCGTAATACACACCCCCTGATTATAGAGAAACCTATGTATGGTTCTTTGGAGTCCTTATTAACGAGGTTCCTCTCTTGTTGCTTAGACTGTTCACAGTCCCCTATTTTTTTGTCGGATCGTTTAGATATACTGCGTCTTACCGTCACGGCTATCTTGATTTTCAAATGTACCGAGGGGGCGGGCGTCGCGGATTATAGCTCTGGGGGAAGAGGGGGGGAGAAAAATAGAGGGACTGTAATAACAACACTGCAGCTCGCATTGACGGAGCGCGTTGTACCACCAACGCAGGCGTTTGATTGGTCATTAGACAATAGATGTTAATTTGCGTTGACAACGGGTTTAGTTTAAGTTGCCGACACTGACAAATCGATGCTTCCATAGAACGTATGCTTTCATACCATAAGGCACATCTTGCACAAACACAGGAAGGACTTTTGGTATTTTGATTAGGAAAAAAGTTTTCTTGTGGATGTTTGCCGATTTTATTTCGAGGAATGGCCCAGGAACATTATAAAATCACTGTTTCAAAAGGAGATATTTGTAAACACGCGTAACGGATGCTAAATGTGTCTGGCATGTTTTTCATCACCAGCGGAGTTTCTTAATTAATTAATGGTAAAAGGCGTGAAATTTCTTTCACGCCTCCTGAACGCTAGCTGTAGTTTATGTTATTACAGTCCCTCTATTTTTCTCGCTTCCTCCCAAACCGACCCCGCCCCCTAAGTAGTTTTGACACTCGTACAAGATGGCAGCCCATAACGCAAAGCGCTCGATCTCGATGATCTTACGGAAAAATAGAGGACTGTGAACAGTCTACTTGTTGCTGGAATTGCATAAATTTAACTACAGCCAGGCCCCTTCACTTTTCTGAGAGAGGTCTGCCTTATGTGTGTGTGTGTGTGTTTCCTGCCAACAGGCAGGTCCTTCCGTATAGTTCTCAATCTAAGGCAGCCTTTTGACCACTAAATAAGGGCCACGATCCTTTACTCTATCCAGCATTCCCACTCAAGTTCTTCCAGGTGGCCTCTCTTCCCTCAAAAGCTAATGGGACAAGATCACCATGGAATAGGGTATGACCAAGCCAGACTCTCTGTCCTCTGTAGAGGTGCCCAAATACTGTAATTAGAGAAAGTTATCATCCCTCCTCTCCAGCCCCACTTTATTCTTCACACAAAATTAAAAAGTGATTGACTGTATTTATTGATCATGACTATAATACTTTATGTGGAGTCATTCAGTATGGTTTATTCAAGTGCTGGAAGTTCAGATTTGATTTTATCTTCAGTTGCATGACATCCCACCTCATTTGTACGAACATTTCTACTTTACATTTTAATTTGTTATAAAAAAAAAATAATTCCGTCGCCTGATTGGTTGGTTGTTTAATGGTCCAAACAGGAAGTTGGAACTGTGACACTAGTCTGTTTCTTCCTTCTGCTATTGGTGATGGGTTTCGCTACATTAAGTAACCCTCCCTCTCAGTATATCCCCCCACCCAGCCAACCTCAAGCTTTCTTGAAATCAAAAACCCAAGGGAGTATAATTAGTCTTTATCAGCAATAATTATTCTAAGTGTGTGTTATTTTACAAACAACAGGGGACTCCCAGATCTGAATACAAAGTCAGCCCTAACCATAACACCTTAAAAGAGGAACAAGCTCAATGTCCTTTGAGTGCCAGCAGTACGGCAAGCGTTTTAGCCAAGCAGGACACCTAAGGACTCATGAAACAGTCCACACTGGGGAAAAGCCTTTTGAATGTAAACAGTGTGGCAAGTGTTTTAGTCAAGCAGGAAACCTAAGGAATCATGAAAGAGTTCACACTGGGGAAAAGCCTTTCGAATGTAGAGAGTGTGGCAAGTGCTTTAGCGTAGCAGGACACTTAACTTGTCATAAGAGAGTTCATACTGGGGAGAAGCCTTTTGAATGTAAACAGTGTGGCAAGTGTTTTAGTCAAGTAGGAAACCTAAGGCATCATGAAAGAGTTCACACTGGGTAAAAGCCTTACAAGTGTAAACAGTGTGGCAAGTGTTTTAGTTGAGCAGGAGACCTAACGAGTCATGGAAGAGTTCACACTGGGGAAAAGCCTTATGAATGTAAACAGTGTGGCAAATGTTTTAGTCAACCGGGAACCCTAAAGATTCATGGAAGACTTCACACTGGGGAAAAGCCTTATGAGTGCAAACAGTGTGGCAAGTGTTTTAATGAAGTAGGAAACCTAAGGAAACATGAAAGACTTCACACTGGACAAAAGCCTTATGAATGTAAACAGTGTGGCAAATGTTTTAGTCAAGCAAGAGGCCTAAAGATTCATGGAAGAGTTCATACTGGGGAAAAGCCTTATGAATGTAAACAGTGTGGCAAATGTTTTACTCAGACAGGGAGCCTAAAGAGTCATGGAAGACTTCACACTGGGGAAAAGCCTTATGAGTGCAAACAGTGTGGCAAGTGTTTTAATGAAGTAGGACACCTAAGGGGTCATGAAAGAGTTCACACTGGGGAAAAGCCTTATGAATGTAAACAGTGTGGCAAATGTTTTAGTCACACAGGGAGCCTAAAGATTCATGGAAGACTTCACACTGGGGAAAAGCCTTATGAGTGCAAACAGTGTGGCAAGTGTTTTAATGAAGTAGGAAACCTAAGGTTTCATGAAAGAGTTCACACTGGGGAAAAGCCTTACGAATGTAAACAGTGTGGAAAGTGTTTTAGCAGATCATACCTACTAAGGCGTCATGAAAGAGTTCACAGTGGGGAAAAGCCTTACAAATGTAAGCAGTGTGGGAAGTGTTTTAGACTCGCAGGACGCCTAAGGATTCATGAAAGAGTTCACACTGGGAAAAAGCCTTACGAATGTAAGCAGTGTGGCAAGTGTTTTAGTCAAGCAGGACACCTTACTGGACATAAAAGAGTTCACACTGGGGAAAAGCCTTATGAATGTAAACAGTGTGGCAAGTGCTTTAGTGTGGCAGGAAACCTAAGGACTCATGAAAGAGTTCACACTGGGGAAAAGCCTTTCGAATGTAAACACTGTAGCAAGTGTTTTAGCCAACTAACTAACCTGAGGAACCATGAAAGAATCCACACTCTATTAAAGGCGCGTAAATTTTCCAAGAAGAACAAAAGTCTGTCTAAACGTTTGGAATCATGTAAACGGAGTAGAACAGGAGGAAAAAACGTTAACTTTAGGGCCACAGACTTTACAAACAACCTGCGAACATACAGAGAGACTGGAAACAGTGGCGTAGTAGACCCACAGTCAGTCATTAATGAGAAACACAGCTGTTGGATTTGTCAAGAGGAGATGAGTAGTGAGGCTCTTCTTCTTCAACACTATGAACATCATATGACCTATGTTTGTGAAGACGATTCATAAAGTTAAAATGCGTTTCAGTTCTTGTAAGTTTTTCTACTTTTGGTTTCTTTCGGTTCTTTGAAAACATTTTCTGGTTTCAACTGTAAACGTTTGGTGTTGTTTAAAGCTTGTTACTTTTATACCTGCGATTCATTTCATGCCTACGTTTATCAGGTACTATACGTGTGAACGATGAAAGAACAGCTTCTGTGTTAGTTATCAAGAAAAAAACCCAGGTTTTAGCCTCACCTACAGCGGATTATAAGTGGTTTGTCTTCTTCATACCATTTACGGTAATTGATATAATAACTGAAGAGTTTCTGAAATCACAGCTGTGAGAACATTGATAATAAAAACAGCACTATAGCATATGGACGAAAATGCAAAAAGCATTCCTTAAGAAATCTTAATCCATGATTCGTCAAGCGAGAAGTCATAACTGGATGCCTTTGGAGAATTTCCATTGGTATTTAATTTAACAAATTGGCAATTTTTGTATAGTCTGTACTCTTAAAGTTATCGATCCTGAGAATGATGTCAAGGTGTTCAAAACGCTAATGGAGCCACCAGCCGTCACGAGAAGTTTGACTGCAAGGTTTTGAACATTTTGATGTCATTTCTATGAAAAGTTGTTCTCGTTTTGTGTGGGTTTGTTTGTTTTTTTTTACAATAACATTGACAGTTTTTGACGTCCATTTTCTTGGAAGTTTCTCGGAAAGTGGCACGCGCAAGAAAGAGAAAAACTAATCACGCCACCATCACGCCATTTCAGTTTTTCCCTCTTGCAAACAGCTCAGCTGAACCATGGATAACAGAAGAAAATAGAAGTGCACCTTCTATTTTTCTTTGGGAGCAGTGTTTATGTTTATTTCAGAGGTGATTTACAGTATTCCCTATCCATATCATTAACCCTACAATACAAAAACTTAAACTTTGTTTCATCCTAAAAATAGGTCAGTATTTGTATAGGTAATAGCATGATTTGTTTTTATTTTAGAGACATTTGGCATAAATACTACGGGTGATATTTCGAAATTGTTATACGTAATTTCACGAGTTGTTAGGCAAGTGAAATTTGAGACAATTTTGAGATATCACGAGTGGCATTTATGCCAAATATCACGTACAAATCATGCTATTATTTGTTTATACTACTACCCGCAATAGTTTTGTAATTTTCACCGTTGGGCTGCCCTACTATAAAAGTGATTTAATAAGTGTGATTTAATGCATTTTCATATGACCATTACAATATTACTCCCACTTTGACACTAGCACAAGTTAAAGCGGAAAACAATTCTTGCCCTTGTTCACCTTTGCACTTGCTGGACTGCCATTCCTGTTTGAAGTACAGACAACACTGGACATGAAATCCCTGTATTTGATTCCTTACATTGGCATCCACATAGGATTTAGCTTGATCACATACAATGTATTTGTACGCTTACAAAAATCATAAATGTTATTATTCCTTTTCTATCCAAAAGATTTCTTTCCTTCTTGAATATAAATTCGTATCCATGACACTTTAGAAATCCTGAATATCTAAAGGGGTATCGCTAGTTGTGGGCAACAACTAAATGCCACAGGGTTAACTTTTCACTCTGCGATAGAAATAGATCTTTTGATACTCTGGGTCTCATATATTCAGTGTTTGTGCACATGAATTTAGGAGCACTTGGCTTGCCAATGTCGGTTTGGCTGTGTATACACTGTAGTAGTGTATATAGTCATATATCATAGGCTGCACAAGTTGCAATTTATGTAAAATTGCCCCTGAAACAAGCTCATTGATGCTCCTGGTGTCACAAGATGACAAGTTATGAAAAATTTCATTTGCCTTTTGCCTGTTGCAGAAGCTCCCTGTGAGATGCTCAGCACTAAACCTTGTTGATTCAGGTGATAGTCATTGAGGAAGACTGCATCGTCACATTTAAACCAGTCGCACTTTTCACTCAAGCCATAGCAGAGCTGGTACAAAATGGTTACTATCCGTTTTTTATTTAATTCTATGCTGTCTGCAGAATGTGAAGGGGCTGTCACTCCATCCTGAACTGCATCAAATAGCCTTCGTGCCCCAGAAGACACACAGACAAGCTTTAATATTTTAATGAGTCATACATTGCCTCACTTGAAGCTACCATAAACTCAGACTTTATAAATATCAGGCTTTAAGATCCTTAAGTTCTCCTCATGTTGAAATTGAATGAAAAGGAAAAGTTAGAGCTAATTTTCTCTCATTTTCAATTTTTTAATCTTCAAATCATAAGAACTTGGCCGCAAAAAGATATGGGTTAGTCAAGGGAGCTAAGCCTTATTAGCTATATATTAATTAAAATAATTAACACATGTGCAGTAGAACATACCAACAACAAAATTTATGAAAAGCAAAAATGAGTGCAAGCATGGAAGTACCAGAGGCAGAAAATTCACTTCACTATCCCAGAGAGAAAATGCAGTTTTAGATACGACTATGATCTTTACTATTTTGAGTATTTTCACATATATTGCATATTTGCAATTTTCTAGTATGTAGAAGTGTGAGGAGCAAAGGGAAGGATTTTTCATGGTTAGGGTTACGTCAATAAAACACATCTGTAATATGAAACATCTTGTACCACACTCCTGTTTTGGCTCATCTAATTCTTTATTTTAGAAGTATAAGGGGCATCTTGGAGTCAAGAGCCTCCATATTACAAAGTTCTGCCTACACCCCTGAATAAGTTAAGGCATCACATAGATTTAATAGATGTCATTTCTAGAGTTTGGGTCTTTAGTTTTATATCATCTAGTCAAAAAAGGAAACATACAATTTCATAGCCCTGGGTGGGATATCTTTGAAATTTCATCAGTCGCAGAATTAGGGCACTGCACCTGCTTTGGCCACTGGTAGTTAGGATGGGTATCTCTGAAAAGTAATCACTGGCAGAATCACTGCACTAAGGTTGCACATCTCTGAAAAACAGGGCGTTCCTGAACCATAACTGACGTGAAATCGTATTATTGCAAGGAGATTGTCGCAAGAACTGCAGTTATGACTATATAAACAGACTAGCATTTAGAATTTTTTTCACAGCGTTTAATTCAAATCGTAAGCGTCGAACGTTTTGTACTCGGTCACAACTTACATGAAGAGATTTCTTCTCAGTTATCCAGTGTTTAATAGAGGAGTTTTGCAGCTGCTACACAGAACCCCATCGACGCGTCCGCGCGCAAGCCAAAGCACGAAACAATAATCACTCATGGACCACAAACCGCGCAAAATTGTGAATGATCTGCGACTTATTAGCCTTGAGACCAATCTCGCATAT